TACAGACAATCAGAATGAAGGGCCCCAAGGAAAAGGGAGCTGTAAGCTCTTACTCTTTTTATTATTGTTGTTGATGGTGTTGTCAGGATGGTGATGGTGGTAGGGGGGATTCATGGACAAAAGCCTTGACTGAAATATCATGGGGGTTGATTTTAATCCAGTGCCCTTATTCATGGAAAGTCTTTGCTGTGATCAGAAAGAATTGGAGTGGGCGAGGGATGTCATCATGTCCTAGTCACAGATTTTACGAGACGAGCACCAGTGAGATGAGGGGCTTTCAGAGAAGGTCTGGCAAGCATACAAGAGGACTTTGTCATTACAGGACAGAATTAATCCGTTTCCCACATCTTCATTTGGTCAAAGTAGAGGACACTGACTAGCACCCAACAAACCAGGGACAGAATGAAGTCTAATTCACAGTGAGGGGCACACCATCCCTCCCGCAGTCATTTCTCCAGCTAAACTATTCATTAGAAATTTGCTTGGGCATGTGCCAGGGCTCACGCCTATAATCCTAGCACTCTGGGAGACCAAGGAAAGCTCATGAGTTACAGACCAGCCTGAGCAAGAGCAAGACCCTGTCCCTACTAAAAATAGAAAAACTAGCCAAGTGTCATGGCAAGTGCCTATAGTTCCAGCTATTTGGGAGGCTGAGGCAAGAGGATCGCTTGAGCCTAATAGTTGGATGTTGCTGTGAGCTATGATCACACCATGGCACTCTACCCAGGGCAACAGAGTGAGACTGTCTCAAAAAAAAAAAAAAAAAGAAAGAAAGAAAGAAAAACTTTTCTTGGGGAACATGGACTCCCACCAAAGAGGCTTGGATAATCAGGTAATACAATATGTCTGGTTCATATGTGGGTTCACATGACATCCCTACATCCAGGTTCTTTCTCTTCTTGCTAAAATATTCAAGTCCACCAGATTTGGAGTCTTTTTCTGCTGGATAGGATGAGGGGAAGTCTAATTTTTTAATTTGCCTTTGTTATATATACTCCAGTTGAGTGGTCCCAAATGCTGCCACTGCCATGGAACACATGAGGCTGCTGTTTAAATTAGAGTTAGGAGACTCATTTGGTTAGTCTGTGCTAAGACATGGGAACTCAGTGGTGGCCCACCATTTGGGGGGTTCTGAGATGGCATCAGGTGACTTCAATACTAACCCTATTTGGCAAACAGATAAGACTCTGAGTGTCCACACCTACTTTATAGCGCGATTGGCTTTGCATGGGCCTGTTTTGTTTGTTTTCTCTGCTGCCAAAGATCTGTTTAAACACAGATTTTCAGCACCTGAACAAGAATTGATCAATTGTTGATATAAGTGAGCCTTGACCTTTCAATTAACACTGTTTTTCTTCAACAAGGTCATAAAGCAATTGTTCCAAAGCCCACCGTTAAATTGTTAAATCATGACATTTACTTATTCAAGAATTATATGTTGATCATCTTCTGTGTTCCAGGCAATGTGCTAAGATTGAAAGACTCTTAAAAGAATTCTTTATTCCATAAAGAATAAGAAAGATGAGATCTCTATAGTTATATTCTAATGGAATGAAGATGGGACTGGGTGAAAAAAGACAACAGAGAAGTAGATAAATGGAATCACGTCACCTTGTGATTAGTGCTATGAGAAAAATAAGCAAAATGCTATGGGAAAGAATATAGCTTAGGGTGGGTCAGGAGAGCTCCCTGTGGAGATGACTGGGAGCTAAGGAAAGAGAACCAGCCTCTCCGGCTGCTAAGAACCTGGATAACACAGTGAAAAGTGGTCAAAGAATTGCAAAACAGGAAGTAACCAGAAACTGGAAGGTTGGAGGAGGGTGGTCAGAGAGATGATGGGGGTGGTACAGACATTGGTGATTGGCTTATGTGAAGTGGGGGACTCCTCTGCTGAAAAACGAGGTGTGTTAAAATAGATCAATGGCAAAGGCAGTCAACAAAGCAGGAGGGGGGAAAGAGACTTAGCAGGACAGGTCTGTCTCCCAGAAGCAAGAGATTTTGCTGGGTGGGGCCCTAGCAACAACCATACACTTCAGGGAAATCACTCTCTATTTTCTGGCCAGAGAAACAAGGGGTTCCAGGAAGTGAAGTTGCATCTACTTGAGAAAGTACAGGGAAGCAAAGTTGAGAGCCTGCCAGGTTTCATTTAGAGAAAGTCTTGGGAAGTAAACATTCAGAAGTCCCTGGAGATTAAAAGGAGATTTGATGACCACAAAGCAGGAGGTCCAGAGGGCACAGTGGAAGGCTGGTTATGTTTTCGTTTTCTTTTGTAAAGCAGAGAAGAGAATCCACCATGGCACATGTAGAGACGCACAGATTACAGTCTGGATAACAATGGGATACCAAGGAACCCTGAAATTCACTAGGTTACTGGGATAAAGTACTGTAAATATTAATACTACTAAAACAACAATAGTAATTACTAGTTCTAGTGATAATAGTAGAAGAAAGATAGAAATATTATGAAAGTTTTATTTTAGGTCTGTGCAAAGTATTGTCCATGGATGTCTATCAATAATCCTATAATCTTCCAAATCTACAGGTAATTTTATAGTATTGGTGACAGCTTTATGGACTACAAATCACTAATCTGAGTAAAGAAGGATACAGGGCTTTGAGGTCATTCTGGCAGCCTGTGGACAACAGACAAATAGTTTTAGAGTTGAACCCCCCAACAGATGATTCAGTGGTATGGAAGGTTTGGGGTGGCTGCTTTGTGGGGCTAGATAGTTGGTTCCCGGTAACCAGGGGCTGCTCACACACTGCTCTTGCACCAGAAAGCAGCACCTGCAGGAAGGAAGGCGGTGATGTCTGGAGGTGGCGCCCTGCACATCCACAGTGCTTCATTCCTCTGCTTCTGTGCTCAATTTGCTAGAAAACTTCTAATCACCTTAAAGACCTAATTCCATTCATTGATGTATTCATTTCACAAATATTTGAGAAAAACAATTGATATTATAGGCTATAGATCCTTCTAGAGACTAGGAATACAATGGTTAAAAAATACCTATATGCATATACATATGTATATGTCAC